GGCATCCTGTTTGTACAGCCTAAGACTCCTAAGGCCCCTGAGGTCATTTTTCTGTGGGTAGTTGCTGCCTACTTATGTTTCATTGGCTGAAACTCTGTCACATGTTTCCATTAAGCTGTAAAGGAGGCTGGGAACTATAAGCTACATAGGTGCTCACAAAGAAGAGGAGGACAGATTTGAGAGGATGGTTTGCAGGAGTTTCTACCACTAAGCTTTAAATTCGATAAGGATGAGAGGAAGCAGAGGTGGTAGCAATAAACAGGAAAAAAAAGTGGTAGGAGTCATGGAGGGTAAGTCTAGATGGCAACAAAACTTTGACAGAATAGGGCTAGCTTGAAGGAATAAGCTAGAAATATATGAGTTGGTTGATGTCTGAGCCTAGAGTGTTTGAAGTGAAAAATTTTGCAGGTGATGCAGTAACTTGTCATCACAAAGATGAAGGTGTAGGTCTATAGGAGAGGAGGTTAAGGTAGTGTAGTGCTGGCCTGATAAAGAAGTTGAAGGGGAGACCACAGAGAAATCAGATCGAATACTGTCAACAAATAGGGGCTGGATTGCTTCCTGCAAAGTCCAGGGTAGGAACACAAAAAGGGAAGCCCCAATACCTAAGCCTAAACATTCCATTATAGGCCAAACAACCAGACCTTAAATAAAATATTACTTTTCTTTTCTTACAGATCTCCTTCAAAAATAATTTGAGGTGAAAAGCCTAAGTTTCTATATTTTCAAAACTGAATTCTGTTTTTTTTAAATTTTTAAATTGAAATATAATTGAATGCTTGTATTTTTTTTTGACATTAGGTATCCTGAACTTCTAGCCCAGTGGGCTACTTCTCTTCCAACTTTATTTTTTGTACCTCAAATCTAAGTTCCATGCCACACGCACACTGGGACTACAGATCCATAGAGAGACCTGCATAAGCTTTTAATACAGGTTTAGTGCTGTTTGGATTGGGCACCAAAAAAATTAAAATATGCAGGAGGGACCCTGGTGCTGGATGGGCATTCAACTCTTGACCCACAGACTGGTCACCCAATGTGAGGGAGAAGTGCTTTCAGAGAAGGATGTAGTGGGCCTTCTTGGCTGGGTCTGAATGGGAGATTTCCCAAGACTCGGTAGGTGATAGCAGAAAAGCTTCCAAGGTGTTGGATGACATTGGTTTGTCCTTTATGCTTGCCACAGGGAGCTTAGGCTTACTGGGTTACTCCTATCACAGTGCTCCCATTCCTCTGTGTTTATTAGTAAACTCTTTCTGTGTGCTCTGCTTCCCCAACTGGTCAATCACCTTTACCTCATAATCAGACTCTGTTGACTTGTAAATATTGCTTTTCTCTTCCCCTTAAGTCCTTCACATAGTTCATTCAGAGAAATGTCCTTTTTGTATATAGACACAGGAACACAGTAATGCTATGCTTTTGTAACTTAGGAGTTAATTGACTCCAAATGATATTCTCTCCTGGACATCTGTTCTCTCGACTTAAGCTTCAGCTGCCCTTACTTCCTTGTACCCCCAAAGCAGGGTCCCAGTGAGGGACTGGATGGACCCAGGGCTAGCTGTGAGCTACGCTGGCATTGAAATGGGCCAGCCAAAGAGCCATAATACTGAACTATAAGTTAAAAGCATGGTCATGGACAAATTCTGTCATGATCCAAAAAGTAACAACTAGATTAGGACCCTGCTAGGGTTAAGAAAAATTAATCTGGCCAGAGTACTGTAATCTAAGATCTATAGTGAAATGTTGCCAGGAGAGACACTCTACAAACTTAATGTATCTCTTACCGTGTCACACAAAATAACTAATATTAAGATGTAGAATTAAGGTGTTAATTAAGATGTTATTTAAGTTATTGGACTAAGGAAAGGAGAAAAACCCCTGAAGTGGCATTTTGCCCTTGAGCCTGATCCCTTGGCTGCAGCATCAGGATCAGGAAGGGCTTTCATATGTTGATTGGGTCTGGGTTGGTTGCTACCCCCAACGTGAGGAGTTGGAGAGAGACAGAGAGACCGAGGTGTCGAGTGGGAGCATGGAGAGATGAGTGGGAGAGACAGAAGGAGATGGGAATGAGGGGCAGTGTGAGACTGGAATGGGGAGCTTAGTAAGACTGCAACAGGCACATTAGGAGAATGGAATAAATGGTAACTGATCACCAACCAGCTTAGCCCTCACTTCCTCTTTTGTCCACCCATGGCATCGGCCGTGCTGGGTGGGCAAGACCACTGAACGAACGTAGACGGTGAGAGGAGGCCCAGGATTTCCCAGTCTCATGGTGATTACACACCAAGGTTTTTTGTCACGTGTCCTGAAGAAACTCAGACTTTGGAGTTAAGATGATAAATAGAGGAAGAAGCTACCTCCTGAATCCTCCTGGATCCTATGGACAGAGCATACAAACACATTTAATTTGAACCCGACATGTTTCTATGTCTGCTGACTTTGGAACTACCTGAGATATTTCCTATATCAAACGTTTCCTCCTATGTAGTTTGGGACCATCCCTGTGGATATTCAGATATGTTTTGGATTTCTGTTTATACAAGATACCCCAGAAACAAATATCAGACCTTGGGCCAGAAGACTTTACCTTGGAATCTAGGATTCCACGTATTATGTAGCTTTTAATTTTTGAACTAACTAAAAAAATTATGCAAAAATGCACAGAGGCCAAGTAGGCTAGTCTAGCCTTACAGTTCAATATCAGAATAAGAAGTTAACACTGATATAATGTGTGTATAGTTTGATGCCAGTATATCACTATTACTACCTTGTGTAAGATGAAGAATGAGTTACACCAACGTAAGATCTTCTTCATGCTGTCCCTTAATATTTTATTAATATTTTTGTTGTGCCAGAGTTTGAATCAGTGTCTCATACATGAAAATCAGTACATGTAACTCCTCTACCACTGAGCTACATTTCTGGTTCCTTACGCTATCCGTTTATAATGTCCCCACCACTCCCTCGCCCCATTCCTAATGTGAAACCACTATTCTGTTTTCTATTTCCATAATCTTGTCATTTCAACAATGTCTTATTGAGTCATAATGAATATGACCTTTTAAAATTGTTTTTTTCCACTTAGAGTTTATGCCCTTGAGATCTAACCAAGTATTGAATGGACCAGTGGTTCATTCATTTTTATTGCTGAGTAGGATTCCACGGTATGAATGTACTAAAGTTTGTTTAACCATTCACCTGCTGTAGGACATTTTGGTTAGCGATTTTTGAGTATTGTAAATAAAGCTGGCAAACAATCATGTACATGGCTTTCTATGAACAGAAGTCTTTATTCTTCTGGGAAAGTGTCCAGAAGTTAATTATTGGAAAATATATTTAGTCTTTGAAGAAACTGCCAAATTGTTTTCCAGAGAAGCTGTGCCATTTTTATATTCTCATGAGCAAAGCAGGAGAGGTCCTAGAATCTATTTAGTAAAAGTAAAGTTAATTAATATAGATTTAATCAATTTGCATTTTATGACAATTGAGACATTGGACATGTTCTTGGTAAAAAGCACAAAATAAGGGGCATAATTAGAAACTGGTATCAGTATTATTTTCCTCTTCAAAGAGGTCTATATAAATATGACTAAAGATAGTCTTTGATGTTCTAAAAAATAACCAGAATTTAAAAAAATATACAAATGAAAAATTTGTAAGATTGGGCTAGAATTTCTCCTGGCTTTAATCTGAATGTGTGAAATCTCATCAGAGGTAAGTTCAGAAGGGCATTGCTGTTGAGTACTAGTATTTGAAATAAAAAAAAGGTAAAGGTGATGGTGACGGTAAGGAGAGCTGCCGGCATGCCCAGGGGCTTAGGTATGGGCTCTCTGTTCTGCTGTGACCCAGTTGTGCAGTTAAAGAAATTCATTTTCTCCCTTTGGGATTCAGTTTTTAAAAATTGTATATGGTAATCCCAAACACACGACTAAATGAAAATTTTACCTGGGCACATTTTAAAAGCAGATGTTCTTTAGTTTTCTTCCTAGAGATACAGGTTTGGAGGGCTTGAGGGTAGTATTAAAGAATCTATATTTGATCAAGTTCCCATCTGAATATGATGAGTAGACAGGTTTGGGAGAAATAGCACATGATGGTTGCAAATACTAGAAAATACTTTAGTTGCTAATGTGAAAAGTTAGCTTTAAGCAAGATAAAAGGATGCATTTTGTAAAACACTTTGTAGTATTTGATATTTTAAAGCATACGTCATACTTATACCGTAAACATATCCACCACCTTGAAAAGTTTTTGCAGGCCAGAGAGATAGTACCGTGGTTAAAGCACTTGCCTTGCACTCTGCCAACCCGTTTGATTCCCAGTATTGCATCTGAGCACAGAGATAGGAGTAAGCCCTGAGTCCCACAGAGTGTAATCCCCCTGCACCCTGTCCAAAGTTTTATTTTGCCCTTGTATTATCATTATGAGCATTATTAATTATGTGTGGATATGTGTGTTTGTGACCTTGTGCATGCATGCATGCAAGCACACGTCAAATCATAACAGTTGCATTCAGCTTGTCTTTCTAATGGCCAGTCCAATCATCGTTTCTTAGGTCTTGCACACTTCTCTCTTTGGGATATAGATACACAGCCTAATTCCATTTGAGGGTTTGGAGGGCTATTAGGTAATTGAGTGAAGGTTCAGCTTCTGGTCAACCCCAAGTCCCTTGCAGGACTCTGTTTTGATTGGACCAGAAGATAATGACCTCAGGGTAAAAGCCCTGCAAAGCTGCAATCCCATTGCTTTAGTGGTGCCTAATCCAGTTGAGCTCTTAGAGGCTCTTTCACAGGTCACTGGCTGTGTGCGGGCAGGCTGTTGTGGTAGCTCTGCCGGTTAGCCGGCTAGAAACTGCAGAGGGCTCAGGCCTGAGAGCGAGAGGCAGGAAAGGGAAAGGCCCTTGTTGACTCACTCACTGGGCAGCCAAGTGCTTAGTTACAAACAGTAAACAAAGGCAGCATCTCTGGCTACAGAGTCAGCTCAGCGGAGGGGAGCAAGAATCCCCAGATCATTGTTGAAAAGCTGTCCACGATGAAGGCCTAGGTCATGGAGACTTTCGGATGCATCCCTGAACACAGGACACAGGACACAGGTACTCTTTGATGTCATTCACTTTTTCCCAATAAATCTGTCTGCATCAAGGATAGGGTAAACCCACTCAATGGGTTTCAGTATTGAGAATTAGGATAACACAGCAGTTCTTAGCCTTGTGTTAATGATTCTTTGCAATATTATTGAAGTATGATTTGTTTCAAGCTACAAGTAGAGCAGATTCAGATGGTGCGTTTGTTTATTAGCAGTCCAGAATGAGCTCAGTAGAAAAAACATGGGACTTGGGGTCAAGCCCCTTTATTTGAATTATAATTTTGCTATGATGACGTCGTATCTAAGTCCATGTAAGTGTTTTAACTTTCCTGAGACACATTTTCCTTATCTGTGAAATGGGTATAATATTTACATTGAAGGAGATACTTAAAGTGACATATGTAAGGTACTTAGTATATGAACACGAGTAGCCCAAACAAGGAAAGTTAACACTCTCAGAAAAAAAAATTTGATCACTGCTTACAGAAAGTCACTGTATTAAGACGAAGAGTGTCAGGCCATACCTAGCTGATGCTGACTTCTGAAAAACAATAGAAAAAAAGAAAAAAGTCAGATTGACAGAATTTTGCATTTAAGTAAGCTTAAAGGAAAGGAAAAATCGAGTTTTACAACAGTTTTAACAACCTTTACTAAAGAATTTTACAATTGGATTTGGAAATAAAATCTATATATTTGTGACATGTAGTGATCCTCACTGATGGTATTAAAATGCAGTTTTGGATCAGGAAACCTGGGGAAGACTTGAGTCTGCAATTATAAGAAGCTGTCAAATGATGCCAGTTTGACTAATCTGGGGAACCAATATATTGAGTAGCAAGGAAAAGGGCATACATCATAGATCATAAGGTAAAGGTAAAGGCCCTCCCGTTGATCGTCGATTTGCTCGAGCAGGCCCAGTAACGTCTCCATTGGAGACTTTGTTGTTACTGTGTCTGGCATATCGAATACTCTCGGTAGCTTGCCGGGCTCTCCGAGAGGGGTGGAGAAATCGAACTCGGGTCGGCCATGTTGGCCGCTTGTAAGGCGAACGCCCTACCCGCTGTGCTATCGCTCCAGCCCGGCTAGTCCGAAAGTAGTGAGTGGTCGCAAGGTCAACCTAAAGTCAACCTGCAGCATAGATCATTGATAAAGTCATTTTTGTTTGGAATAGGGTATACAGCATAGACCATTGATAAATACAGCATAGACCATTGATAAAGCCTTTTTTTGGGGAGGGGGGTTCATACCCGGCAATGCACAGGGGTTACTTCTGGCTCATGCACTCAGGAATTACTCCTGGCGGTGCTTGGGGGACCATATGGGATGCCAGAAATTGAACCCGGGTCTGCCGCGTGCAAGGCAATCGCTCCATCCCTGATAAAGCCATTTTTGTTTCTTATATTTTGAGATTATCTTTATTCTTTGCTCTCACCATATACCTGATGTTAATTATCTGAATAGCTAAGTAATTATGCACTGTAGCACTGTCCTCCCGTTGTTCATGTATTTGTTCCAGCAGGCCCAGTAATGTCTCCACTGTGAGACTTGTTATTGTGTTTGGCATATCGAATATGTTGCTTATTATATTCATTGATAAGTTAGTATATGACAAACACAATAACTGATGTTACAGATGAAGAAGGAAAAAATTATTTGTTGAAGTGATTGAACCAGGTCAGCTCAACTTTGATTTCAGAAGTTGTCCTTTATGGTACTTTACAGAAAGTAAAGTTCTCAGTTTTATTGGCTTTGGGGTTCATGTTCCATGATAATTAGCTGATTACTCACCTGCTAATTATCCTTCCCCTTACCCCTTGCTATGTATGTAGACCTCCTTTTCCATATATTTTCTCAAAATAGAATAGTTTCAGCAGCCCAACGATGTTGGAAATAGAGTAGGTAGTGAAAACAAGAAAATCATCAGAACAGTGGAAAAAAAACCAGTTATTTGTAAGCTGCTGTCAGTCAAGTGGTAGATTTTGAGAGTAAGCTGTCAGAACTTACTCTTCTGTAGTTTAAAGAGGTGTTAAGTGTCTGGCAAGGAAATGTATAGGAATTTAAAAGAACTCATTTCATTATTCCATGCATCAGTATCGTTTGTGTGAAGTGCTGATTCACAGAGTACCGACAGTTCTAACTTAGTCATTGATTTATTCTTTCTGTGTGTGGGAGAAAAGGAGACCTAATGGGGAGTGTGCTTGGAAACTGAGTGGCGAGAGGGCTGTGGGATGCATTTGAAGCATGGAAAAGGGCCATAGAGATCTGTCTGGAATGTTCGTTAAAAGTTTGGATTGGAAATAATATATATTTTATTTTGGGCATTTGGGAAGCGCACCTGGCAATGCTCAGGGGTCACTCTTGGCTCTGCACTCAGAAGTCATACCTGGTAGGCTCAGATGAACATATGGAAAACCAGGGATTGAACTCGGGTCAGTTGCATGCAAGTTGCATGCAAGTGTCTTACCCACTCTACTATTGCCTCAGCCTCTGGAAATGATTTTATAGAGACTTAAAAGGCCCCCATAAGGCCTTAAAATAGAGAAGAAACATGGTTAGATTTTTGCTTTAAGAAGTCTCTGCTGGGGGAGCGATAGCACAGTGGGTAGGGCATTTGCCTTGCACGCAGCTGACCCGGGTTCGATTCCGAGCATCCCATATGGTCCCCTGAGCACCGCCAGGAGTAATTCATGAGTGCAGAGACAGGAATTACCCCTGTGCATTGCCAGGTGTGATTCAAAAAGGAAATAAAAGAAGTCTCTGCTGGATGGAGAAATAGAGGATTGGAGACAACATGGAAACTGGGTATGAATAAACTATTTTAGAGGTCAGGGAGATAGTACAGTAGGTAGGGTGCTTGCTTTTAATTTTTTTTAAATTGTAGTTTTGGCCTGATTAGTGGTGATAGGGCTAGGGTAAAATAGATGCATTTGAAATAGATTTGGGGAATGGTGTAAGAAAGTGGAGGGGGTTACAAAGAACATGGAAGACAAAAGAATGATGTCTGAAGGTTTCATTGGAGTGAGCAACTAGGTAAGTGATAGTGCCATTAATTTGGAAAAGAAAATAAAGGAAGAGCGACTAAAGGGAAGATGACTTCAATCTTGGCCATCCAAGTGGGACTGTCAATCTTGGTAGCTGCAAACATCTAACAGGAGCACAAGAGAAAAATCTGAGGTGGAGAGAAGACTATGGAATTGATGGGTTGAACACATAATTAGCTACAGAAAATGAGGATTGTGACTGGTATAAATATTTATTTCCTTTTTTCCTCTATCAAGAATAGTGAACTCAAGGACGTTGTATTCTCCTCTGAGCATAGGGTCAGCATGGTTTCAGTTTTATAGCAGTTAGATGGAAATCTGCTGTTAATAATTTCTTCATCTGGAGATGACATTGTCTTCATCTGCTTTAAGGAAATGTGCCTGGGAGCTAAATTGACAAAGCGTGGACTCTAGTGGTTAGCTTCATATGTCAACTTGACTCTATTATAGTAATAGTCATTTAAGGAAACACTAATCTAAGTGTTATGAAAGGTATTTGGTACAGAGGATTAACATCTACAATCACTTGTCATATTAAGGAAAAGAGATTTTTTTCTGGTAATATGAATAGGTTTCATTTAATCTGTTGTAAGGCCTCAAGGATACAACTGAGATTTCCCTGAGGAAGAAGAAATTTTATCTTAAGATTACGGCATCAGTTCTTTTTTTTTTTAAATGTAGGAATACTGTTATTTATTCAACCTTTGATTAAGCTGATTGAATTGGGCATGAACTCCATATTACTTTTTTTTTTTGTTAATCACCGTGAAATACAGTTACAGAGCTTTCATGTTTGAGATTCAGCCATACAATGATCAAACACCCATCCCTCCACCAGTGCACACTTTCTACAACCAGTATCCCCAGTATAGCTCCCCCCATCCCAGTCTTCACCCTGCCTCCATGACAGGCAATTTCCTCAATACTCTCTCTCTACTTTTGGGCATTATGTTTTGCTCAAATTTTCCTACCACTATTCAAGCCTGCCTGCCAGGGACACATGCTCGATCATTTATTGTCCATTGCTCATTTTGAAAATCTTGGGTGTTATGGCTGCATGCTTCTGGAATCCTAGATTGTAAATGGTTGGGTTACGGAGACATTTCTGTAGGGTACTAATCCATTTTGGGATTCAATTGGGTGTCTCTGGACCAGGGCCGTTGGTGCACTAAGATGGCACCCGGGGGCACATTTTGGGGTGACAGCCAGGCTGACTAGCGGGCAGGGAGCTGGAGAGGGACAGCCTGGCGCCTCTGCCACCATGTGGCCTGGAGATTTAATCCTGGAACCTGAATACCTTCCTTGTGGAAGCTCTTGGTAACCTGGATTACATTTGGAGTAGGCCGGGAGACTGCACCTGTTCCATCTGGAGTGCCCCAGTGAAATTGGCTCGGTATGGGGCCTGGAGAGATTTCTGGCTCTGTGGTGTCTTCTAGGACTCACTGCTGTGTCTCTGGACCAGGACAGTATCAGTTCATACCCAAGAGTTTCCAGACCCCTAAGATACTGTACTGAAATATAATGTTAATTGTTTCCATCTGCCTGCCATGGTTGAGGCACTATAAATATCCATTCTCAGTTTTAGCAAAATTCCTAAAATATCTCTTTGTATTCAATATAGACTTTCTAGAGAGAAACTAGGGAAGGATGTGGGACATGTCGGGAGCCAAAACTGTCAGAATGATTCTATTATTCTTCCTTCTTTAGCTTCCTTCTTCCTTCTCCCTTCATTCTTTCAATGTATCCATATCCACAGTGGTCCTATGGATTACAAACTTGCAGCTGTGACAATTACATTAATATTCTTTACATACACGCATGCTCAAAACACATACATGTACTCTACTGGTCCTGTTTCTGTGATGAGCTCTAATGTTTAAACCTTACATATTTAGGTATTAACAGAGCTGAATTTAAAGCTGAATTTAAAGGCTAAAGACGACTTTAAAAAATTCACAACTTTAAT